GATAGATATATCAGTCGAGGCTGAAGTGGATGAACTAATGATTCTATCACCTCAAAACGAGCAAAAGCAACATACCGCAGTTAATGGTGCAAAGCTTCAAAGTATGGAACACAGGAACCCTTCACCAGCAAAGGTGCTTCATGGAACACCAGTGGAGGATGACTCTCCAGCAAGAGAAGAAAGGTGTTCTCTATGTGGAAAATTTAACTGCCCTCTTGTTAAAGATAAGAAATCGAAAGCTATTTTTGCCAAAACATCTCTTGAAAAGAAGGACAGTTGTTCTAAATAAGAAATAAAAACTCTCGGTTACACCTACATCAAAGAAAACATTTATGGGAAAATTCAGATCTCGAAGTCAATGAATTGTTCCCAGTCCTCCAGCAATGAGGTCGAGAAGAGTAAATTCACTCGCCCGACGAAGCATTGGTACCGGAAGTGCAGCAAATGGATTGAGTAAACGAATCGCTAACCACTCACCAACTCAAACTTAGAGGTAAAAATATAAAATTGTAGATATTAATAAACATAAGCTGCAAGCATACCTTCTTGAAACTCAAGTCTACAGTTGACTTCTTGGGTGTAAAACCAGACTACTCAGGTATCTGTGTTCGTAAAAGGTGGTCGCACATTCGCGCCAAAAGCAGATGAGCGAGGACCTTGCCTGGTACACTCACCCAGCTCTGACACAATGCGACCATCCTCTGCCCTTACTGAGCCCAGTCCAAGACAACACGCCTCCTTCGCCGAGGTCAGACTCGCTTAAAGGTATCCCATAGTTCAGCAGAGTCCTGTAGGGTGCCAAGCACTTCAAACCGATTTGAGACAGTCACTGCATACTCCTGAGCCACCTCCTCACTCTTGAGCCTCTCGAGATGGTACCACGAGCCCGCAATCCTCAGCCTCCTAGATCTTGCGAAATCTAAGAGGTATGAGCTATTTGATGTTCCTAGCACCAGAGCCATAGGGACCGATACATAGCTCGTACCCTTCTCTGTCAGTGCCAGTGACTACATTGAAGTCCCCCAACACCATGAGAGTGTCCCCCGGGAACATTGATCCACTATAGAGTCAAGTTTGGTGTAGAACATCTCTTTTTCTTCGAGCCCACTTCCCTCAGTAGTAGCGTAAACTGCCACTAGAGATATGAAGCCCAAAGCCCAAAGGAATGGCAGCGGTCAGAGACAGCCACCACGACTCCCCTAAGGCGTACACCATTGCTACAGTCAGACCAGTAATTGATATAACCCTCACTACTGGTCTCACCACTACCAGGTCATAGCATCTCAGAGAGAGCAGCGACGCTGTTCAAGAGAGATCTACGGAGAAACCTCAGAGAGAGCAGCGATGGCAATCGCCAGCCTCCCCAGCTCCCCCGACAACAAAGGTAGTCGATCATCCTCCAAGAGACTGAAGATGTTCCAGGCCGCTACACGGCACGCTCGCTGCAGATTGACCCCATTTGTGGGCCTCCGGCCAGGCGACGCCTTGGCACAAGCATGCCTCCCAAGGATGAAGAGTGGGGGCCGGGGGGACCATCCCCCCCCTCCACGTAGCCTCAGGGTGCAGGATTCCCTTTGAGGGCTTTGCCCTACACCCGTCATACCAGGATCGACGTCACGAGCAGATATATATATATATATATATATATATATATATATATATATATATATATATATATATATATATATATATATATATATATATATATACATATATATATATATATATATATATATATATATATATATATATGTGTGTGTGTGTGTGTGTGTGTGTGTGTGTGTGTGTGTGTGTGTGTGCATATATATACATGTATATATACATTCAAGGGAATATTCAAAAAGCTAGAATGAAATGGAAAGGGTATCAAAATAGGAGATGAATGCCTAAGCAATCTAAGATTTGCAAATGATATTGTTCTCTTCAGTGAATCTGCAAATGAAATACAACTAATAAACGATCTGACAAGAGAAAGTCTGAAAGTCGGACTTAGGATGAACACGAAAAACACTAAGATCATGTTCAACAGTACAGTTTAATTCGAACAAATACATATACAAAGTGAAGCGCTTGAGGCAGCGAAAAGGAAATTAAGCGACACAGAGAATATAGACGTACTGTAATTTTACTGTAAAATTAAAAATGGAAAAATATAGAAAACTGTAACTTTAGTTTACTTAATCCCTTCATTGCAGGAATTATAATCTTAATATTATTAAAGTAATCAATTCACTTGGAGGAGATCTGTTTTTCCCTGTTTTCTAATAAAACAGCGATGGTGACGGCGATTATATTTTAAAAGAAATCTAATAATATTTTTATTTATCTAGATTTCGATAGTGGCGGCAGCGATGATTCCCATGCCTTGCCCTCTGTCATTTCCTATCATTGTAATACTTAATTGGGAATAAAAGTGTAAATTTGACTCACGGGGAGGGGTTTATACAAATTCAAAAACCCCTCGGAGGATAGGCATTAATCTTCTCTTGTGGTTTCAGATGGCGCCGGGCAAAGCAACTTTTAGTTTTTATTTCCTGAAGTGACCACTTTGAACTGTATCCCCTATTTTTCTATTTTTTAACATTAGTAGTAATACTTATAAGTTTAGTGGTAGTAATTTTAAGTTGCCTATACGTACAGAGTACGTAATGACTAACCATATTTATACATAATGTATACATATATGACTATATTGATTTTTAAGCTGAGATATATATATATGTATTCTTTATTGATTTTTAAGCTGAGATATATATATATGTATTTTTTAGCTTTAGTATAATTCCTATGTTGCTTTTGATTGATAGATGGGATGCGTTAGAAACATATGAAGCATGGTATGCAAGAGCTAAAGATGTCGATTATAACTGGAGTTCCTTGGCGGATGAGCTCAGGGTGGTTCACGATGCCGTTGCCAGCACCAGAACTGCCTTAGATATGTTCTAGGTGTCTGGAGGGAGGTGAGTGAGTCTCTTGAAGCATATTTTAACAAATTGCGAATAGCTACCGAACAAATTCAGACACAAGATAGAGAGTTTGCTCCTCTTGTGGAGAACATGATAGGTATTATCTTTGCCAGGGAACTTCCAGAGGAGTTTTTTCATGTTTGTCCAGGGCTTGTGAAGACGAAGGATTGCCGAACATTGCCGAGTACAGGGTTTGGGCTAAGCAAAATAAAGCTACTGATTATCGGAGGGAAGCGGTAAAGGAGGAAACTAAAAAAAAAGGAATAGTAGGGGCGATAGCCAAGGAAGGGAGCAGGATCTCTAAAAAAAGGAAAAGAATGCTAACGGTGGAAAGGTAGAAAGTCGAAATGATACACTTACACCGGAAATGTTAAACAAACAGGTCGAGGTGAGAAAGAAACCAATGAATAAAACAGGAGATGAAAGGACAGACACAAATTTAAAGAGGAATGTGACAAAGGATGATTCAGTGACATGTGGTTACTGTCAAAGGCGTGGCCACGGAACTGACAAATGCCAGTTGTTGTTGCTCGCATAGCAAGCTCTAGTGCTCATATGGGAAGGAATCGTGGCGGACCTGCTAGGACATGTGGATATTGTCAGGAGACAGGTCATACCATGGATAGATCTTTCCTTTTTGATCAAAAGCTAAGGGGAGTGCCAGTTACACGCCAAAAGATGGAAACAGAGACTAAATGTTTTAATTGTCTGAAAATTGCCCATTTCGCGAGAAAGTGTTCAGAGCCTTGGATGCTGTTAAGATCCTATCCCTGGGAGATAGTGAAGGGATGCTGTTATTTGATGTTTATCTTGGGGATAAGTGCATTACAGCATTATTCGACGCAGGAGCAGAAGTTTCCTTAGTACATAGTGAAGTTTACCATGCCAGATGTCAGATATCATGCCCTACTACCTTGTCCATTAACGGTCAGGAGTGTAGTAATAAAAAATCTGTCGCTTCCATGGCAACCGTAGGTCTGAAGAGACGCTGGAGGACCAAGACGGGGAAAGCTGCAGGGGCCCCTGTGAAATTTTCCCGCCTAGGTGAGGTGGATTTGAAATATGCTACGGATGTGTGCTCTAAAAATGAGGCTGTTATAGATAATAACAGGGTTATTAATGAGAAAATTACTTTAGTTAATAGCGGGGCTATAGATGGTGATTATATAATATTTAGCGTAATTTTCTAACGATAATTTTCTGTGTAGCAGTACACACACACACATATATGTATGTATATATATATATATATATATATATATATATATATATATATATATATATATATATATATATATATATATATATATATACAGATATACATATATGTATATATATATATATATATACATATATATATATATATATATATATATATATATATATATATATATATATATATATATATATATATATATGTGTGTGTGTGTGTGTGTGTGTGTGTGTGTGTGTGTGTGTATAGAGATATATATGTATATATATATATATATATATATATATATATATATATATATATATATATATATATACATATATATATATATATAGTTATTATTTGGATTTTAAAGGTGATGCAAAAGGTAACTAACTCTGGAGTGTATGTGTGTGTATGTGTGTGTGTGTGTGTGTGTGTGTGTGTGTGTGTGTGTGTGTGTGTGTGTGTGTGTGTGTGTGTGTGTGTGTGTGTGTGTGTGTATGTGTGTGTGTGTGTATACGTGTATATATATATATATATATATATATATATATATATATATATATATATATATATATATATATATTATACACATATATATGTGTGTATAAATCTATACATTTATATTTATATGTATACATATATGTGTGTCTCTCTCTATCTCATGACCAAAAAGGGAGTTCCGTGACGTTAAACCGAACCAACCAGTTAATTGTATGCTCACTTGTATGAGTATGTTATTGTATAGATATAAATGTATATATGCATTTTGCATATATAGTGTGGCCTTGTGTGGTACAGTAACATTATCTGAATCATAGAGAGGAACAAGAAAGATCTTGATTCTAAATCGTTTATTTTTGTGGACGGCTGATAGATAATACATTCAACAATTTCTTTGGTAAAAAATGTGAGTAAATGCTAACAAGTCGAAAGCCCATATACTAAACTATATTGTCTATAACAGATGTCACAGTGACGGTCACAGGTTACAGTGTTATAATTATCCTTTATGTCTCTCTGTTTATTTACAATCTAAAGAGATTCCTCCATCAATCACTTCTGTGTTCGTTTCGTGAGGGGCTGACACTCACGATCTTTATCCATGTTTCTCCATCTTTCTACCCTCTCCTTCAGGAAATCTTCTTCTGCCTCAATGAATTCTGCTAGTGTAGGGGCCTTAGCTTGCTGTGAAACACCTGGTCCCTTTGAGGCTCCAGCTTCCACCCTTCCTCCATGGGTAGGCTGTGCTCCGCGAGTTTTATTCATGTCTCTCCGTCTTTCTTCTCTTTTCTTCAAAGTACCCTCTTCTGCCTCTATAAGTTCTGCTTGTGTGAGGCCCTTAGCTTGCTGTGAAACACCTGGTCCCTTTGAGGCTTCAGCTTCCCCTCTTCCTCCGTGGGTAGACTGGGCTCCGCGAGTTTTATTCAGGTCTCTCCATTTTTCTTCCCTTTCCTTCAGGAAATCTTCTTCTGCTTCTATAAGTTCTGCTTGTGTGAGGCCCTTAGCTTGCTGTAAAACACCTGGTCCCTTTGAGGCTTCAGCTTCCACCCTTCTTCCCTGGGTAGACTGAGCTCCGCGAGTTTTATTCAGGTCTCTCCATTTTTCTTCCCTTTCCTTCAGGAAATCTTCTTCTGCCTCTATAAGTTCTGCTTGTGTGAGGCCCTTAGCTTGCTGTGAAACACCTGGTCCCTTTGAAGCTGCAGCTTCCCCTCTTCCTCCGTGGGTAGACTGGGCTCCGCGAGTTTTATTCAAGTCTCTCCATTTTTCTTCCCTTTCCTTCAGGAAATCTTCTTCTGCTTCTATAAGTTCTGCTTGTGTGAGGCCCTTAGCTTGCTGTAAAACACCTGGTCCCTTTGAGGCTTCAGCTTCCACCTTTCTTCCCTGGGTAGACTGAGCTCCGCGAGTTTTATTCAGGTCTCTCCATTTTTCTTCCCTTTCCTTCAGGAAATCTTCTGCCTCTA